ACAAATATGTTTTTTCATGAGTCTGTGGAATATGAATCTGAGGTCGGGATCTTCCTGCAGCTCCACAATATTACCTTCAATATGGCATATGAAGCAAAAATAGTGTACTTCCTGCTATTTAAATATTGTATCGGTCCATATAGCAAATGTGATAACATTTTAATTGCGCAGCCCTTACCCTTAGTTTAATAACACGAAGACGACACACAATGGAACAAGGTCCATTGACAGGTGTGTGCTTGGGCTAAAAAGGCCCTAAAGCAGCCATCACAGGATCCTTTTGTGTCCTCATGGAGCAGAACAAGTGACAAGGCTTTGGATTTATGGGTCGGGGCCTCCAGCAGGGTGGCAAGCTGCAGCGGGGCCCGGGCAGCGCAGCGGCAACACCGCCTCCATCTGTTGTCACGGTCTGCTCAGATCTGCATGCTAATCCTTCTCTACCCACACCTTCATGAAAACACCCTTGTGGCAGCGATACCGACGCAGCTCTTTCAGGATGAGGAATTAACAAAGCAGGGAGCACAAAACACACAGAGCGGAGGTTTATGGGATGTGCAATGCAGATAGAGCGGAGGGTACAAATGTGAATTTAGAGGGAAATTAAAGAGGTAGGAACCACAACCTCAGCAGTAGTTATCTCTTTAACACATACACATTTTGTCACAACTCAAGGCTGAGAGCATAGAAGATCGGCTTGATGTTTGCTAATACATGCAACATATGAATAGGGTAGTCAAGGACACTTCTTTCAAGGTCTCAAGGTCGGTGACATTCAGCGGGTGTGGAAAGCGCGGTTCCCTGCTTCCGTTTAGCAGATGTAGCTGCTGGCGAGAGTCTTCTCGAGCTGACTAATCATTTGTGTATGCAGTTATAATATGCTTTCAATGTCTGAAAATACATATCATCCATCAAAGCACTGTTGTAATGTCTTTGGGCTTGAAAAGGGCACTGGGAGTAGGTGTGGCAAATCTAAGAACTAATAAATATACATTTCCTCAGGCAAGAGGGGAAGGCTGTAAGATCTAAGGATTGATTTCCTACCCTGCCGACAAAGCAGATAAGGGTTGAAACAGTGCAGGCATGCACAAATCTACATTCTGCAAACAAAATGTAGAACTTTATAAATGCATGTTTCACACAGAAAAACTGAGTCTGGGTCTGCCTGTATGTTTAACATGTCTGGAAAATAAAGAGGATAAAGTATATATGTACAGTATGTTGTTATGTTTTATTAATTAGGAAGCCTTCTGCTTCATACAGGAGTCCACGTGGACTTACTTCATGTATTCACATTTGGAACACACCCATACCATGTGGGAAGCTACAGAAAAAACATCTGTCATGAACTAAAGGAAACTGCCAGTGGAGTGAAAGTTTTTTTTTTTTAAATCATGAACATTTGGAGAGTTTTGATGAGATGAATGTAAGACACCAAGATGTTTTGTAGATTAAGCATTTTTGCAGCCAATGTACCATGACAAACATCAGCAAGAATTAACTGCTTCCTAAAACGTTCACTCTGTAAAACCAGAAAAAGTGTTCATTCAGCTGTTTCATTTGGAAGACACAGGGGAAACAAAACAAAAGGCAGGGAAATGTTATCATGTTATCTCAGAGATGATACCGTATCTCTAACAATGTTTTTAGCCTTAGGGAAAATAACTCAACACTAAAATATTTTTTTATGTTAAAAATCCATATTCATCTTAATGAAAGAGAAAGAGAGAAAAAACATTTATTTCTTTATCATTCTAAATTCGCAAATGAAAGGATTCGGCCAATTAAAAAGTTATTTTGGCAGCATGTCAAAATAAAAGATATTGGAATATTAGACTTCAAAACGGTATCCATTTTTAGCTGCTTTGTGAACAGTCAGCCTAAACAGCAGAGAGTCTTACCATGACAGAGATGTGCAGGATGCGGAGCTCCTCCTTTGCAGAATTGCTGGCCGGGTCTTGGGTGGGCTCGGGGGGGTTCATGCTGCCGTCCTGGTGGTGGATGTGGAAGAGCAGAGTGCCGTTCTCCAGCCATTGCTGCTTCCATCGCACCATAGGGATGTCCTCTGAATTCCCAGAGATCTCTGCCGGAGACAATGGACAGATAAAGGTGACTAAATGATAGGCAAAATGCTGTTGCACAGCAAATTACAACTTCACGGAGATCCACAGGAATTTGCGATCAAAAAAGAATGACATCTTGTAGTGTTGTGTTGTTATATTAACTTTATTAACTTTTTACGATTTTGTAAAACTAAGTAAGTCATTTGGGCAGGACTAAGACTCCTTAACAGCTATTTGATTAAGGTTTTTATTGAAAAACTTGAAAAAGGCTATTGAATGAATTGCCGTGACATTTGGTATGGACCTAGCAGATGATTCAGAGCTCAAGACTTGAATGTGGGAATTCTCTGACTTTTAAGCTAGCATTACCTTCACCACCTGGGACATGCTGTAAGGGACAGCTGTACATAAATGTGTTAGCAGCATTTGCTTATAAATACTTAACACTGGTTGACATTTCAGGTTTTTATTGCAAATAATTGCAATGACATTTGGAACTGCTAACAAATAGAATACACCAACAGAGACCTAGTGGATGAATTGGTGAAGATGTAGTGCAGACATTCATGGTTCCCAGATGTTGTATCATAATGACTTTGGTGAACAATCAACTTTTAAACAAGCGTCACCATCATGTCATGCTAGAAGGTCATCTGTACGTAAGTCTTATACTGTAGCAATCGAGTGGTACAGACCATTGAACAAGGTCAAACTATGGGCATACAACACCTGTGTTAGAAAGCCCACACATTGATATCATAAGTTTGTTTGTTGATGTTATGTTATAAGTGTCTTTCCTTTAATGCTCCTGGTGAATTGAGCTGTTACATGCGCATGACGTCATCGGAGCTGCCGTGCCTGTGTGCCGGTGATATGTTTACTTTCAGTTTCGTTTATGAGAAGACAATGCATTTTCCTCCTGTTTTTCTTCAACATTCTCTTTACTTTTATGCTGTTAATTGTTGTGCGTAAATGCATAAAGGTGAGTTCATTTGTGCAATGTAAACTTGTCAGTGTTTATATGTAGTAAAAAGCATTATTAGTATCTTAGTAGGCAGTAATGTCTCTAGTTTGTTAGCGGTGCTGGATGCTAGTGGTAGCTTAGTTGCTAACTTCTTTGTATTCCACTCGCTTGTTTAATTCAATTGTATTGATTCTATAATTGTTTTATAATAGATAATTGTGATTATTATTAATGCAATTCCTTGTTTGTAGGCTTGGGCGGTATGACGGTATTACGGTATACCAGGGTATTTGGAAATACCGTCGGTATGATTTTCAATACCGTGACGTCACAGACTGTGCGCCAAATCACAGATCCGTTTCATTCTATTACACTGACACGGAGTTTTGACAGGGACGACATTGGTTGTAATGCACAGCACGCGCCAGCAGAGGGCAGGGGAGGGCAGTCCGTCTTTCCCGCTCTCAGAGCTCAGCACAGAGCTGAGCTGAGCAAGATGGCGGCAGCATTTGCCGGCCCCNCATTGGTTTCTATAGGATGAATCCTGATGATTTGTGTTAATATTGTCCAAATGGGATTCACCTGCTTAAATAAAGGTTTGAAATGAAATGAAAACAAGTTTTGGACAATATTAACACAAATCATCAGGATTCATCCTATAGAAACCAATGCATTAAATTCAATGTAAACCATCCAAATGTTTAAAGATATTTCAACCTGAAACAAAGTGATGGACTAACCTACCAACTGACTAACTCATATTGACATAACACAATTGTGTGGCTAGAAATTACATTACATTACATTGCATTTAGCTGACGCTTTTATCCAAAGCGACTTACAATAAGTGCGTTCGACCAACAAAATACAAACTTGAAGAAAACAGAATCATATAAGTACATCAGGTTTCATAGAGCTAAAACATTTCAAGTGCTACTCAACTGGCTTTAGATAAGCCAGTCCTTTATTAGTATATAAGTGCTCAGTTAGCAGTTCTTTGTAAGTAATTATATCGATCGAAGTGGAGTCGAAAGAAATAAGTTTTCAGTCTGCACCGGAAGATGTGCAAGCTATCTGCTGTCCTGATTTCAATGGGGAGCTCATTCCACCATTTTGGAGCCAGGATAGCAAACCCACGTGTTTTTGCTGATGGGAACTTGGGTCCCCCTCACAGTGCACGTGCTGGGGTGTACAGTTTAACCATGTCCTGGATGTAGGAAGGGCCAGATCCATTCGCAGCATGGTACGCAAGTACCAGTGTCTTTAAGTGGATTCTAGCAGTTACTGGAAGCCAGTGAAGGAAGCGGAGGAGCGGCGTGGTGTGGGAGAATTTAGATCAATAGATTGAATATTACTCATTATGGCAATTTGTGAATAATGTCTGTTGTCTACGTTAGGTGTCTAATGTAAGATGATATTCGTCTACATTTTAGGGGATGAACACTACCTTGCTGTACGGAAAGCAAATGCCATCGACCACAATTGTGTGGTCATTAATACATGATTGATTGAAAGTCTATCCAAGCTAGTCCACATGTAAATTAATCAAAACATTAGCAGTTCCAGGAGCAGTTAACATTTACTCCTCCAAATTGTATCCCTCCTACTTATAGGGAATGTTGGTACACTCTTTACTCGACATGCTTAGCAGTGCAGTGTCATGTCTTCTCAAACCGGAGCATTTATCAGCTATAAGACATTTGTCTTTAGAGTAAAAATTGCTTTAAATACGTCGACAGAAAGGCAAATACATGTATCCAGTCCAACTGTCTTTATATAGCACATTTAAAAACAGAGTTGACCAAAGTGCTGTACATCACTTGTATATGCATTTAGACAAAATCGATAGTTCATAAAACAAATGTAAAACACAAAACAATAAAGCCATACTTAGAGCCACAGACTGAAACTAATCAAGACGTTCACATTAAACACTTGTTAATATGAATTTGCTGTGCTTTCAGCTTTTTTGCAGCCTGCAGTGTTGTTGAGTAATGCAGCTTTAAGTCTTCACCATGCCTTTTTTTTTGCCAAGCTAACTATTTTGTTTCACTGTGCCCCCACCCTCCAATCTTTCATGTAATCCACATGTATTGTACGCTCTACAGTATGGAGCTCTAATGGGCCATCAGAGTCTACTGAAAAAGAACAGTTTGGACACAGGACCAAACTAACAAGCCATGATGTCAGGGATGCACCAGAACATTTTTCTATGACTGTGTTTCTTCAACTCTTGTGTCTGTGTTGCACATCACGCTGTGTCTCAGTGAGCCCGCGGGGAAAGTAAGTCTGACTTAATATGGCGTCAGCATCACATCGTTTCCTCTGTGTTGGGATTGAAGCGAGGGTCGTTGTCTTTAAAAGCAGATGGCGTGCTTTCAGACAATCTGACTTTCACAGTTGAAGACATGTTAACATACTGTGTGGATGTTTTATTTTTCCTTTAAAAACGTACATGACATGGCATTGGCTTTATACTAAAGAAAAATGTATCACTTTGAAAGGATTCAAATTCATTTATTTTACAGAGAAACACTGAATGACAGAAAGAACAGCATTTGCTGTGGCAGTACAAATGTTTCTCCTTTCATGTTTATTTTATTTCAACTTCCAGCTGCTGCCATAGGTTCCTGATAAGGTTTTAGTGCATGGCCACTCATGTCAATATAGAATAAAAAAGCCATATATTTTTTTCTGCCACCTTTTGACACAAAGTCTGACGCACTTCTGCCCTTCCTATCTGTCTTAACAGATGATGAACAGAATAATTAGCAGTCGCTTGACAATGATCCTATGCATGACATATAATGTAAGCTCCTTTGAAATGCACATGACCTTCTGTTCTTCGTGTCCAGATGAAACAGAACATCTTGTCCCAACCGTCAGGATTCCCTCCTCTAGCAGCAATTGAATATCATAGGGTTTCACACAGAGCTCATAAGCTATTATTTCCCTTGCATTCTAACGCATATTTCACATTTTCTGAGAATGTGTAGGGAAATGAATTGCTGCTTCCCATTCCCTGCCAACAAATGAATTAGTCTCACCTGAACAAGCATAGAAATTAGTTTTGGATTTGTGCTGCTGATACTTTGGGAACAATAGTCGCTATTACTATAGTTGAACATTCAGCCCTCTGATATTGAATATATGATGAACGAATACACATACTCATGCTAAAACATTCTTAATATACAATATAGTACACAGTTATGGATTGATAAGGTATGTTATAGCATAAAAGGGATACTTGGTGTTAATAATTCATGTAAATCACATGTGAAGGCTACAATCAATACTTCATCAACCAATATGGAACTGTTTAGAATATAAGACAAACTTGTAAATATATTAGGTAAAAAATAATTATAGCTGTATGTCTTTTTAACATTCGAGGAATAGTCAAGAAAAGAACATTTTAGCAGCAGAGAGACTTCAGTCATGACAAAAGCAGACTGTTTGCCGCTGTGAACATTAGTATTTGTATTGCTTCATAGGCTGGTTTAGTCCGGTACAATCCTTCCTTCTGTAGCAAATCGATACAGGCAAGATAATGTAGGACACAATCCAAATATCATTAGAAACCATTAGAACAACTTGAGTGCTGTTCACGATGAACAAAAACAAAAGACGCGCGTGACAAGGACTGCGAAACGTGGGTACTTTAACATTATTTTTTTGTTCTTGAAATGACGTAAATATATCGTAATATTGGGATGCAGCAGCAACCAGGACCTCTTGTTCTCATTTTGATTTCAATAAATAAATTCTTCCGCACATTGCTCTACATAGTGTATATTTATTAAATATTCCCTTTATCACTAAAAACAGTTAAGGGGATAACAATTAGATATGTTTGAAATGTTGTTTGGCTCATTACAAACCTGTAATTTCAAAGGTCAGCATTTTCAAAGATTATACCATGTGACGATAGACATTTGCTTTGCCTCCATTGTATGCTGAGTATTTGCATTACCCCTTGTTTGATCAGTTTGGTTTTCTTCCCGCCACATCACCCTTTTTAAATCCATGCACCCACTTCACCCCAGAACACAGAGCAAACACATGCACACCCCCCCACACTTTACACAAACATAAAATAAACATAGCACACATCAACAGACTACCCTTGTCTTGTTCCCTAAATAAATGTTGTTTGCTTAATCCCTGAAGGAATTGTGTTAAGGCATCAGGCAGTGCGATTAGTGGCATTATAACTCAAAAGTTCTTATTGAAGTGTAATGTTAGATATTATAATATATTGTAGTGTTATTTATTGCTTTGTAATGTATTAATTTACATTTATCTCATCTGAACCCTTCAAGACTTGTATTACTTACCGGTTTCCTCTTTTCTATAATTTTTTTCTTTTTTTTCGTGGCAATTTGGGGTTTCAGATTATTATAACTATAATAATAATAATGTACTTGTCATCAGTAACCTGGCTGATATCGAAAGCCTGCTTGAATAATTCAGACCTTATGGTTAGATCTTCCTACGTTTGATCTTTAACACACCTTCAGTGTTTCAGGTACATTTGATGTCAGCTAAAATATGGCTGCAACACGATTCCCACTAATACTACTAGGATCATTATTTCCTCCCCTGTAGAAATACCCTTCTTATGGTTGCTGTAAGAATGAGAAATCACCTGGGGACCAAGCTTTTCAGACACTTGTATGCCAAGTTGTGAACAGTCTATCACAGGTTACCAGGATTATTCTGTTAACTGGTCTATTCATTACACCCGCGACACTCTTTTTTAAGACCTTAATGTCAGTATGGCCAATAGCTGGGTCACTCTATGCATTGAAACGTTGCCAGGGCTTGTGCTTCACAGGTAGTTAGTGGCAGACGGATGAACTACGAGGTAAAACAAAGGTATATCTAATAGTATGTGGCATTACAGCTGTATTTGAAAGGACCAAGGTTTTGTTTTCCTGTTAGGGTTGTAATGGTACACAACATTTCAACTGTTTGTCAAGAGTCACAATTTGGGGGCAAGCTCTGTATTCTGCTCCCCTTCTTAAAAAAAAGCTATTTTATTTGTGCTGGCTAGCTTAAACTTTCTTGGTTTTAAACCATAAATAAGTCATGCAGACTCTCAAAATTGTGTTTCCTGGGTGCGACCGAAATTGCAATGACCTTAGTAAGTACAGACTAAAGATGAGTTAAAACTGATCCTATCGAATGTTAACGAAAGCATTTGAGGATCTATAATACTATTTTTAAGTGCTTAGTTTGAACGTTTTTTACTGTGGTGCCCTCCAGAGAAATCACAAAAGATTGTGTCAAAATTACACACATCAGCCCTGTTGGCTCACAACAGACCCAACCAGGACACGCTGATGCAGGAAATAATACTTTTCAGAACACACAGTATATTCAAATGTCATGTATGCGCATACGATTGTTATGGCTAAGAAAACCAACCATCATTACCGTTCCTCTAGGATGTGAACGTCCCTGAACTTCACCCGTGCATCCTCCCTTAAGTGCCAAAGTATACGTTTGTTCCAGCTCTGCGGGTAAATGACTTCACATAGTCTGCCTCCTGGGCTGTTTTATTTTTTAACACACAATAATGTATGCAATCAGAATAATATAAAAGCTGCTTAAGTATAATCTGATAGAACATTTAACATAAGGCTTTAAAAGCAGCACAACCCTGTAATGATGAACTACATTAGGGCAAACTCGTAAGAAAGCTAATATGTTTTCAGCTTTTGAAACAGAATAAGAGTTTACATGGTCTTAAATTAATGTATTCTCACCACAAAGGCTCAAGTGCTATCATGGCTTCATGCCTTATTAGCTTTTATGAAACAAACCAAATTGAATCAAATGATTCAAACCCGTTCTGTCATTAATACTAATTTTCCAGTAAAGAAAACCCTGTGTGACGTTTGGGAAATGGGGTTGTGACTTTCACATCAGTCCAATGTCAAAATCAGATCTAGATCATAAAGTATATTGTTAATAATCAAGATTCCTTTAATTTCCTTGCAAGTATTTAATATAGGTCTTAGACAGCATAGACATATATAAGAAATGCATGAGGTAATTCCATACATTAAAACTGTCAATTTCTATCATTAATATTGTAACTTGCTATCAAATCTAATCATCGACCCTTTGGCTACGATAAACATGATTATATTCGAATCCAGAAACTTCCTTTTGCTATCTTGTAGCTGTCAGATAGTCCCAATCTTTCCGACTCGCTGCGTCCAAGTGCCTCACATCCTGAGACTAAGTGACAGATTGATAGCTCGGCTCTAATACCATGCCTGGTCTGTCCCACTGAGAAAGGCCATGTCTTCTCTCTTCCATTCAGGACTTACATGACAGGAGTGTAAGTCATAAGAAGCACCAGTGCCATTATAACATCATCCTCATCCGTTAGTAAGTGGATTATGGGTCTGGAGCGCTGGCATGCTCCGATGTTTGGTTTTATTGGCTCTATAAGAGGACACAGTCCACTTAGTCCTCACTTTGATTCCAAGTAATGCCTGACATTAAACAGTTTTTTCCATTTGCTCTGTATTAGCCCCCTCCACGCATCACCGCTAATGCAGGTTGATGGGTTTGAATTACATTTGTCACTGAGGAAGATTTGATTGAGAGCCATTTGAGGTACTTGACATTTGACATCTTGTTCTAGTCAAGGCAGGGATGAATGAAACAATAGTGCTGCTTGAAATTGAATATACACTTTAAAAGTTATGCTTAGTTATTACATTTTAACATTCCTTAACTATGCTCTACATTTAACAAGATTTGTATCAACAAGAACACACAACAAATGTCTTTTGTAATAAAATGGCCCTTTTATGCTCATTTTCAGCTTGATATTTGTATTTTGTGCCTCTACTGTGACATGTTTACATGGTTTAATGTTCATAAAGCTCTTTATTGTTCTCATACTGCCTGTGCTGCAGCACCTCTTTTCACCCTCTGTCTGAAACCAGATCCTAGTCTGCTCCGATTGGTTAGCTGGCCAGCAATGTTGTGATTGGTCAACAGTTTAGAGATGTACTGCTCCTTAACCCACCATGTACAATGTGTTGGGGAGCTACCCAATAGACCAGTGAGTGTTACATAGTGATGTCATTATTTTCAGGAAGTAATCAAAGGAGTCCAATGAAGGGTTGGTAGGGCGGGGGGAGAGTGAGAGGGAGAGAAACTCCCTCTGGAGGGAACTTTTGGATTCTTAGCCTAAGCTTTACATGCACACAAACCTGTATACCGTAACACACTATACAAAAAGGAAAAGGACAAAAAGCATTGGGCCTCTTTAAAAAAATATAATTGGATTTGGTAAAAACATGCTTCATAACTATTCTATTTATTTTACAAGATTATAAAAAACAATTTCTATCCACTCTCTGACACAAAAGTATATAAACAAAAAATACCAATGGATTTAAACATGTGTCATAAGAAAAAGCTAAAGTAAGTAGATAGGAAGTCCTGCCTGTTTGAGTGGAACATAAAAAGCAATTTAACGCCTGATTGTACAAACTCAAATGTATTTAAATCAAGGGAGCCATCCACCTCTGTGATACCCCTACAACCACATCCATTGCCCCCCCCCCCCAGACAGATCAGTGCTCTAGCATCCCTCTCCCTTTCCCCTTGACTGTCGACGACGGATGCTTTTCAGACACATTTCCCTTTTTTTTTTTTCACTTTTAATCAATGCCGATGACTACACAGGGAGCATTATATTTCACTCACAAGTAACTGCAACCCAGCAAGTGCGGATTGCATGCTTTGAATCCCTCTTTATTTCACAGACAATGGGAGTAAAATACACAACTATACATCTTAGGTGACAGCCAGTGAAATTAATACCTGGATTTTCATTGTTTGTGGCGGTGTCAAAGAATGAAATATACAACACATGGGAGGATGCTGCCTAGATCGAAGTGACTTTGAACTTGAGTCACTTTAGAGAAGGAAGGGGTAAAAATCTTCTATGGTCCCTGAATTGATTTTTAAATTATAATAAATTGATTGAGCAAAACTTATTTTCACAGCCTAGCATGACATCATATTTAATTATAGGTTATAGGTTTTTTCTTTGCTATTTAGGTGTAGAACTTAACAACAACACATACATTTGATATGGGATGGCCTTCTTTAGTGTATGTCCCTGACAAGTTAGCATATGATCAATTGCTAGCTAATTTTGTTCAATGTCTGCTTGATATGTTTTGTTTTGTCCTTTTGCTGGCAATCTGTCAATATTTACACTCCTTCCAACTTTGTTTCAGTTGTTTAGAATAAAGTCAGGTGAAAAGTATGCCTGTATGCTAATACATGTGATCCATTGTTAATAAAACGGCATTAAGTGCGTTAATGAAAACTTAACACATACTTGATTAAGCTAACCTTCAGTGTGTTAATGATTGAAGAAAAATGTATATCTATACAGCCCATATTCAGTATTCTTTAAAAATTTTTTTAATTGTGTCATGTCCTGTAGATACCATAGTGTAGTCGCTGTTTCATTTGAATGGAGAACTTCATCAGTGACTTTCAAAGTGCTGAAAATGTAATCACTACAAACCAAATGACTCTGCTCTCCTTTTTGACCACTGTTCCTGCAGATTTAGTGCAGAAGTAGGTCCGTACCATGGTGTCATTTGTTAATGTCCTTGACTATGCATATTGAGCAAACCATTTATGCTAATAAGCTCCACTTTTGCCAATTTAAGTTAACATGAGCAACCCAGCTTTTTTCCATTCAGACTCAGAATTCCTAAAATGTTTGAAAAGTGATTTTCTTTTTTATGCAAATGACTGATTAAAATCATTTTTCATTTGTGCCTATCTGCTCTTAACTGCACATTCTATCATTTTTAAATCAGTTTCCACTAAGATTTGTTATAATACTGTTGTTTTGCTCACACCATTGCTTAAATGAAATTGGCAAATTATATTTTTCCCATAATCCTTGTGCCTTGTACCTCTCAAATCACATAAAAAGGGTTGATAATTTGAGTAGAGGCAGGAAGTCATAAACACATATTCATTTATGTTTCTTACTTTAAATGACAGCTTGATTTTTGGACTGAGAGGCACTCACTATTTCTTTTAAACCCTTTTCCAGTGGCAAATTGCTGCTGTCTTCTCTCGCTTTGTGCTGTCACCGTGACATTTTCATAACTCTTTTTGACATTTTCCAAATTGCACAACGTATCTGATTTTGAGTTCCCAGCTGGGTAGCATCAGATTCAGCATGGCGAGGTAGTAAATTGCACATACTGCACATGTAACCTTACGGGTTCAAGTTACAATCATGTCCGCATGTTATCTCTGCTGTCACTCTTTCTAAAATATCACTTTGAGTAACCTTAAAAATGCAAATAATGGGGCTAGATAAAAAGAAAAAGTAGTATAAAACTGCCAAGAAAACTGTTCTCTTTTTCTTTATTTCAAAGGAGAGATATGGTCTTATATTCAAACTGAGAATTGCTGTCTTTCCCTTGCGTTTCCACAGGCTGTGTGCTTTAAAATTGCCTTGACTTTGATCCATATCCTGCTTCTTGGCAACATTCTCTGACACTGTTCTCGCCTTTCTCGCTCCCTCTTTGACTCTCTCCCCTCTCGTTGTCTCATTTCCTCTCCGGTTTCTGGATGATTCTGTCTGTGTCCCCGCTGCTAACCTGTCCTCAGGGCAGGCTCGACGCCCTTCATCTGTCCATCTTGTTCCCACGCCAGATCCTCAACACCCACAGGTGCTAGTGTGTATGCTGCAGCATCACTCCTCTCCGGAAACAGGTTCATAAGTCATTTAAATCAGAGCTAAAATGAGCAAAATGAATGTGGTCATGTGACCTGGCCCAGTCGTCTGGTATCAGTGTTTCCTGCGTATGAGCTGATAGTCAAAGTCACAAGAGACTTTTCCCATATTTTCACAGGCTGCGAGTAGATCTGTTTTCCCTCTGACTTTCTTCTTAGTTCAGAAAGACAACGGTCTAACGTCAAGGTTTTTTAAACTTATTTGTGAAAGACATCAAAGCTTAACAGTACAATTACCACTTGAATCATCAGTCATATATTAAAGTATGTATATATATTTTACAATCCAGACTCAAATATGTATGTTCATTTAATTCATTTCTTGTTTTACCAGTTACTTATATCATTTTAATTGTATCTTTAATTTTCCTTGTGTGAATCTGTACTGTACTGCTTTTCGCTCTAATTCTGTTGCTGCTTTAAACCCCGAGGGGATTAATAAAGGTCTGTATTATCTTATTTTATCGTATCTTAAAGGTCCCATATCATGGCCATTTCTACTGATCATAATTCCATTGTTGAGGAATACTAGAATAGATTTACATGGTTCAATGTTCCAAACTCACATTGGTTTCTCATACAGCATCTCTGTATAGTATGTGTATTCACTCTCTGTCCTACACGCCTTGTTGGAGCTCCTGCCCCCCCCTCCTAGGAGCCCACTGTGCTCTGATTGGTCAGCTCACCCACTCTGTTCTGATGAGTCCACCACCGTTGCAGCGGAACATCAGTGTTATGTTTTACAATGGCGTTTGTTAGCAACCAGAAAATGACACCAGTAATTACAAACAGATGAGAATGCTGCCTGGGGTCTGGTCTTTTACATGGAACAGTTTAGTTTACACCTGTTTCCAACTCTTGTGCCAAGCTAAGCTAAGCTAATCAGCTGCTGTCTTTAGCTACACACAGTATTTGTCCCACAGACTTGAGCATGGTGTTGACCTTCCTATCTAACCTTTGGCAACAAAGTCAAGACATTAAATGAAACATGTTTCAAACTGCTCCATTGACCTCAGTACTTTCAATAGGGATATGCTTTATAACGGCCGACCCTTGCCTTTATCCCACATGGAATTCAATTATTAAGAATCAGTCTGGATCAGTGTTCTGAACTTCACTGTACTTTGTTTCAAGGTGAAACAACCCTTCAGTAGCTGCTGTCATTTAAAAACACTGAAGGTTTTATGCACTAAATTGCATCTCTAACCTTTTTTTTTTTTATATATAAATGTGCCGTTGGCATTACAGCTTTGACTTTGATCCATATTCGACTTGGCAAGATTCTCTGGATCTGTTCTCCCCTTTGACTCTCTTTTCTTTCTCTGCTCTTTTTCCCTCTCTTTTCTCCCCTTTTGTTTCTGTCTCTGCTCCAAATGTCACCCTCCTCCCCTCAGGGCGGGATGATCGCCCTTCTGCTGTCCATCCTGTGCCTCGTCCTGATCCTCTACACCCGCCGGCGCTGGTGCAAGCGCCGCCGCATCCCCCAGCCCCAGAAGAGTGCCAGTGCTGAGGCGGCTAATGAGATCCACTATATCCCCTCGGTGCTGATGGGGGGCCAGGCCCGCGAGAGCCTGAGGAACTCCCGGGGTCAGGGGCCCAACTCCAGCGGTACCCTCAGCATCCGGGAGACTCCGATTTTGGATGGGTACAAGTAGGGATCGGTGGAAGGGGGGGGACATATTCTGAAACGGTTACTCTCTAAAAATAAGCATCTGCAGTCGCTGTAAATAAACAGAGTGTGTTCAGGAGTTTGGAACTGTTTTAAATGCACTACTTAAGGCTAGCTGATATCATTTAACCAGCACACTTTTAATTGCAGTAGTCTGCATTGAGTTTAGAGTATTCATATTATAAAACAACCTATCATAAGTACATCCTGTCACTCTTTGAAGTATGTATGGCTTCATCAAGCTATTAGGCGCTTGTGATGCCTTAGTTAGTTGAGTCAAAATTATTTAGCTTAAGTTGTGAAATACCAATTA